TATCTAAATATTGATAATTTGTTGTTACAAAATAAAATAACAGATAATAGAACATATTATTGCATTAAAAGTTATTAATAATAGTTGTGACACTTTATTTGCACTTAATTTTGAGCATTTTTCATAAATTGACCCTGCCTTCTTTAGAAAATATCCGCTCAACATCTGGTTTAACAATTGTCTCCGATGAAAATCACTAAGGTCGTTTGAAGATTTTCAAAAGTTTGTAATACATTTTTCTGCAAATTGATGGACGATCCGCATTTTTTTGCACTTAAACTGCTTTAGTGCGTATAATTGTGTGTATACTTTAATTGGAAATTTAAATGAAGGCAAAACGCGAACAGGCATTTAGTACATGAGCACCCTTTACCTAGTATTTGCAGTATCTGCAGCTTCTCCTTTGATAATTTGTTGAGTCATTGTTATCAGCGTTATAAAATGAACTGCTGGTTTTGCTGATAAAACACAATAATATCACACTCAATAATTGATAAATCAAAATCACTGTCAGTTTAATAACGCAATGTGTATTTGAAAAGTTTACCAGATCTACAGATGCACCCGCACTAAGAGGAAAATGTCGAATTCAAAGTGCATTTGTGCGTCCCAAGCCTCAGGCGCGAAGAGGCCGGAGTGGTGGAATCAATTGATTTTTCTTGAGTTGATGCACTAATCCCTTATGAAAATTTTTCGGCTCTGAAAATTAATTGGTACTCGTTTCATAATTTTTAACTGACGGACAATGTGAAAGTTGTGGACCCAGTTGCCTTTTGGAAGCGTTTTTGTACGAATGCGTTCATCAGAAATCTCACGAAAAGAAGATGCGAGTTTTTCGCAAAATATCGCCCACAAACAATAGAAACAGACATCGACAGAACATTTCATTAAAATTCATCTGAGCGCTTTAACGCTATTATAAAACACACAATTTAAGTTTTGTTAATGTAAAAGTTAATGAGTCAGTTGGCAAGAGGACAGAACTCTTTTTTGCGCAAAACTATGAATGCTGCAAGATTTTGCAAAAAGAACAAAAACGTCTTAAAAAGATTAGTGCATCAACTAAAAAATAATCAATTGATTCCAGATTTCTCTGAGAATTTATCTGAGAAAGAATTCTTAGTCCGCTAACTCTACTGCTTATTAACCAGTTCCGTCCATATACAAAAAAACCACTAGTGCCTTTGGAAAGTTCTAAGCCGAACTTCAGATTGTTAATTGTTTTGTGCTGGTTCCAGATAATTTGACTGTTTTTATTCGAAACTGCACTGGCACTGGGGAATGGAATCAACAAAGCGACTTCTCTTAGCCGGACGATCTTGTCCTTTCACCGGCAGTCCGGCAGCTGTAAATCTGCATACCGACTATGCTGATTTAACAAGGTTCCACAAATAGAGCAGGAGAAAAACCGACCGGTTCCAATCGCTTTTAAATGCCATTTTACTTGGATCTGTTTTAACAGTTCAATAAGTGGCATTGTTCACCGAATATCTCGTCATTTATCGATTTCAATTCCTTTTGCTTGATTGCTTTGATCAATGGAGCCTAAATCTGACCATTCAGGTGTCCTCCATATTTGCAACCAAACTGCCGAACAACGCCTCATTTCTAAAGGCTTTGTCAACAATTTTCGCCAGCTGGTTGTTTGGGCCTTCAAACGTTCTCGATATTTGCACCAAAGCATTGAAAAAATGCGCACTTTTCAAAGTTTCTCAACAAATTTCCCGAGAATATTGCGGTTGGACACTTCATTTGCACAGTTGCAGACAGTCAAAAATCGCTTTTTTCTAGGCTTTCTTAAGATTTATACCGATAGTATTGATTGATTCGACTTCCAGATTTTCCATTTCCAACAATTCAAAAAGCATTTCTTTCTCAATGCAATTTCCGACAATTTTAACAGTTGTTTTGGCCTTGGCTTTGTCTCACATTTGCAACCAAACAGTGAAAAACGCCAATTTTTCAACAATTTTCACGAGAAGGTTGTTTGGGCCATCAAATGTTCTCGATATTTGCACCCAAGCATAAAAAAAACGCGCGCTCTTCAAAGTTTCTCAACAAATTTCCCGAGAATATTGCGTTGGACCCTCAGCTGTCCACCTCATTTGCAAATACAGTCAAAAATCGCTCATTTCTACCCTTTCTCAACATTTTTACCGATAATATTGACGGTTCATGCGACTTCCAGATTTTTTCATTTCCAAACAGTCAAAAAACACTTGTTTCTCAAGACTTCCTCAACACATTTCCCGACAATAGTAACAGTTGGCTTGGCTTTGGCTTTGTATTCCATGTTTGCAGGCAAGCAGTGAAAAAACGCTCATTTTTCAACAATTTTCAACTCCTCAAAACTTCTCCAGCAATTTTCCTGGGAATACCGCCAGTTCTTTAACCTTCAAGAGTCATAATTGTTTCGATTATTCATTTGCAACCAAACAGTCGAAAAACGCTCATTTTACAAGAATTTCCGAAAATCTCCTGGGGATATCGACAGTTCGTTAAAATTTCTATTGTCCGCGACACAAAACAGTTAGAAACTCTAATTTTTTCGCTTTAGAGCATCCACGTTTTCCATTTATACGCACTCATACTCATTTCTCAACGCTTCATCGACAGATTTTCCCACAAAATTGAGCTGTTAAGGCCTCCAGTTTCCACTTTTGCAAACAAACAGTCAAAAAACGCTCACTTCTCAGCAATTTTGCCGACAGGGTAGTTTGGACCTTCTAATATCCTCCATATTTGCATCAACAAACAGTCCAATTTTCAAGGCTTGGCCAACGAATTCCCCGACAATATAGACGATTGTTTGGACCTTCAAGTGTTTTCCAAATATACCACTAAAAAATGCTCATTTCTCATATGTTTCTCAAATAAAATCATCGATAATATATACAGTTGTTTTGGCTGACGAAGTGATTTTGTACTACGTTTGCAACCAAACAGTTGAAAAACAATCATTTCTCAAGAATTTCCTAAAATTTTCCTAGTTTTCCTACCAAGAAACTCAAGACTTCAGTTGCCCAAAGTTGCCGCAAACTTCAGTTGCCCAAAGCTGATAAACTGGATTGCTTCATCAAAACATGACTCTTACATAGGAAGAAATTCACAGAGAGTTTCCTTAAAATCCATCGTACAATTATCCTGATATTTCAAAAAGATATATTTTTTTAAAGAACTTTCACCATCAATAGCAGAGGAGCCTTTTTCTTAGTAAAAGTTAAGTCAGATCGTCTTCTTTTGATCCAAAGAATATCCTCCGCAGTACCCTTTTGATCATGTGCTTACGGGACACCCTGTATATAAAAATTTAAGATTAAATTGCAAAGCTAGAAAATTGAATTTTCAATTCTTGGAATGTAGGTTTTGAAATTCGCATGTTTTAATTCCACATTCGGGTAATTGTTTGCCCATATAAAAAACGATAAGTAGAATTTAAATTTTATAGGAAATTTAGTAACCATGAAGTGGTGGACCGATCTTTGGCTAAACGAGGGATTTGCCACTTATATGGCAAGTGTGGCAGTGGATCATTTATTCCCCCAATGGAATTCCCTCCAAGAAGAAGGAGCTACTGATATGTTGAGCGTATTTTCGTTTGATGCACTCCGATCATCTCACCCAGTAAGTGGGTTTCAAATTGAAGACACCATGTACTTAAAACGGTATTATTTGGTTACTTACAGGTATCGGTTCCCATTGGAGATCCAAAAGAAATTGATGAAATTTTCGACACGATTTCATATAAAAAAGGTTCATCGCTGATAAGGATGATGAGCCTCTTTTTGGGCGAAGAAACCCTCAGAGCGGGAGTAAGCAACTATTTAAGGGAGCACAGGTAATTTGTTAGAGTTGTTTTCAGGAGATATATGGACTGAGTAATAACTTACGAACTGTTGCCCAATTCATATGAGACAGAAAGCGCTTTAACGATGATTTTATTACGAGTAATTTAAAAAAATTACGCTGAAATAATTTGCTTATACAGAATTTTTTTATTTAAAAAATTATTTCTAATTCTATTTTGTTAAAAATTTCACAACTTTTGTGTTGGTCACTTTTTTCATGTCACTGTTTTTTGAAGTGATAACTTTTTATGGGAGGGCGAACCGATTTTTTTCGGTCACGGCGGCTCCAACTCCGGCCTCTTCGCACCTGAGGCTTGGAACGCACATATGCACTTTGAATTCGACATTTTTCTCTTAGTGCGGGTGCATCTGTAGATCTGATAAAGTTTTCAAATACAAATTGCGTTATTAAACTGACAGTGATTTTAATTTTTCAATTATTGAATGTAGTATAATTGTGTTCGGTGCAGTTTATTTTATAACGCTGATAACAATGAATCAACAAATTATCAAGGGTGAAGCTGCAGATACTGCAAATACTAGGTTAAGGGTGCTCATGTACTAAATGCCTGTTCAAGTTTCGCCTTCTTTTAAATTTCAAATTAAAGTACACACACAATTATACACACTGAAGCAGTTTAAGTGCAAAAAAAATTCGGATCGTCCTTCAATTTGCAGAAAAATGTATTACAAACTTTTGAAAATCATCTTCAAACGACCGGGTATTTATCATTGCACATTGCCGTGCACTGTTAAATATTGTTTTAAGAACT